GCGCATCTTGGCTGGGCGGTGACGCCTGGGGCGGAAGACGTGGCAGTCCGCACACGATACAGCGGCTGGTCTGGCGCGGCGGTGTTGGCGGCACTGATGGGCGTGGTGAATCAGGCGGCGGCGGTGTTGTGAAGCGCGCTTCGTCCGCTGTCTTATCTTTCTCATCACAACTGCCATCATTGCCACCACCAGCGGCACCATCATGGTTCACTTCATCACCGCCTCCACAACTCTGCTGTCGCTGCGGCGTCTGCTGCTGCTGCTGCTGCTGCTGCTGCTGCTGCTGCTGTTGCGCGTCTGGTTTGGTATCGACACAGTCATCTGCATCGCCAGTTTTGCGGTTGACCTTCCCCGCTGTCCGCGTTCCACTGGTATCGTCACCACCGCCAGCGTCACCACAACCAACGTCACCACCCTCCATTCCACCATCACTGCCTCTCGCTGTGGGGCACGGGCGTGCTGGTCGCACGTGGTGCAGCACTGGCGCGGCCGTCGTCCCAGCGCGCGGCCTGCTCGTGTCAAACGCCTTGAGCGAGTCGATGCTCGTGTTGCGGGAGCGCTTGCCAACGCCCGGGGTTGGCGAGTCTTCACTCGACAGCACCGTGATGCGCGGTGACGGGGAGTTGAGCATGTGACGTGCGCCCCACGGCTGCATTGCGTACAGCGGGTGGGCGTGGCGTGACGGCGACTGCACGCTGCAGCGGCACACCCCGTCGAGCAGCGGGAACGACCCTCCGTGGCCGTCATACAAGGTGGCGTGTACGTCCACCACAATCTGTGCGGGCGGCGTGTGCACGTCGTCCCGATGATGATGATGCTGGTGATGCTGGTGCTGGTGCTGGGGCGGTTCATAGGACTTGTGGCGGTGGTGTCCTAGGGTGTGTTTGCTGCTGCCCGATGTCGTACCAGACGCATCGGATGAACGCTGTGCTGCTGCGTCATCTGGGGTCGCCGTTGCGGCAGATGATTCACTCAGCGCCTTGAGCTGCTTCGTCTTGCCGCGACCCTGCGTGGTGTCAGCGCTGCTGGTGGCTGCTGCCGTTGCGCGGGCCATTATTCCCCGAAGCTCCCGCTCGATGGGCGCATCATCGTCATCGTTGTCACCATTACCATCGCCGCCATGGTGGTGTGTGTGTGCACCCATGGTGTCAGCGCCAACATGACCAAACACAATGTCGTCATCATCATCGTCTCCAAACACATCATTGGCACCCATCACAACGTCATCATCACCACCGTCTCCGCCAAGATCGTCAGCGTTGGGGCCATCGTTGTCGCTGACGGCTGCGCTGTTGTGAGCGCTCACGCTCACACTCGTGCTCGAGCTCTCGTCACCGGGACGCCGGAACAACCGGGACATTCCACCAGCGCCACCGCCGCCACCATCACGGCTGTTGGTAGTGCCTGGTTCGGTGTCTCTGTTGTCACCCTCCTCACCATCGCCATCACCATCGCCATCACCATCGCCATCACCATCGCCATCACCATCACCATCGCCATCACCATCGCCATCACCACCAGCATCATCATCATCATCATCATCATCATCATCATCATCATCATCATCATCATCATCATCATCATCATCATCGTCATCCTCGTCTGTAAAGCTGGAGCGCCACCCGTCGTCGCTCTCATCGGTGTCAGTGCTGCCGTCGCGGGCATCTGTGGACACGAACACGTCCGGAAACAGCGCTCGCTCCAGCTCGTCGTCGCTAATGTCCTCCTCTGCCAGCACGGTGCTCCACCCATCAGACTCATACGCGCGCCCACGCTGCTGGTGCTTGCTCGATTGCTTCATTTTGGGCTTGGATTTGGACTTGGTTGGTGCTGTTGTACCCGCGGCATCGCTTGCGCTGCCCTTGTTCTTGATGCGCAGGCCTCTGGCACCGGAGGCTGCCGTTGACACACCACCCTGGACCAAGGTGCCATCAGTCTGTTCATCATCACTGTCATTACCATTGCCATCCACATCCTCAACATCCTCATCATCCTCATCTTCACTGTAATATTCATCGTCGTCATCAAACTCGTCGCTGTCATCATCATCAAAGTTGAATGTGCCATCGTCCGTCTCCACCCACGTTGTCTTGTATGACACAATGTTTTCGTGCTCGATGCGCGAGAGGATAGCTGCCTCTTGCGTCACGAGCTCCGCATTCTCCTGCGGCAAGGGCATGACCTTGATTGCGTAATGGCACTGGTCGATGCGGTGACGTGCGCGGTACACCGCGCCAAACCCGCCCTTGCCCAGCAGCTCGTGGTCGGTAAACTCCTGGCTGAAGCGCTTGCTGTACTTGAGGTGCAGCTGCTGGCGCATCTCAGCCTCGGCCTCCTCCAGCACTGCTGCCGCAGCTGCTGTTGATGCGGTGGCGTGTGGGCCTGCCACGTGATTGCTGCTCATGCGGTGCGCCAGCTCGCCACCAACGGCAGTGGCGGTGTCACTGTCGCCATAATTGTAGTTGGGCGCGAGCACGAGTGAGGGCAGTGCCAATGCGTCCTCCTGCACGTCGCCAGCAAAGAACGCCGCCCGCTGCGACTCCGACGTGGCTGCTGCTGCTGCTGTTCTCGTGCTCGGGTTGGCGCTGCTGTCCGGATGTGGTGGCGTTGGCCAGTTGAACACAATGGGTGATGTTGGGGACGACACCGATGTCGGGCCAACGTGCATCGCTCCCCGCAGCCGCTGCCCACGCATCACCCCGCCAATGCCGCCAACACCACCAACACCACCAATACCAGCAATACCGCCAACACCAAGGTTGCCCATGGCCTCGGCGGCAGACGCGGCGTCCCAGAGATCGACCTGGTCCTGCACGTCGCTGAAGATGGCGGCAAACTGGCGCCGGTACCGCTCGCTCAGGTTTGGGATGGCGCTGCTGTCCGGGAGAATGCCCAGCCGCTGCAGCATGCGGATGCTCTCGCGGTACGTGTGGTGTGCGCGGGCGTGTGCCGTAGACTCGTTGAGGACGCACAGCCTCTCCAGGAGAAACAGGGCGAGCAGGGCGCCCGTGTTCTGCTCGGGCCGTAGCCCGGGCCCGCCAATGGTGCTGCCATGGCCACCGCTGCTGCTGATGTTGGCGGTGCTGTTGCTGCGCCGTGCCCCGAGTCGCGAGCCACCAAAGCTCAGGCCAAATGTCGACGACGCTGACGACGCTGCCCTGGATCCTGTCCCTCTCGATGCTCTACCTGTCGGTGTGGGCGATGCACGTGGAGGCTGCATGTGTGCACTGCCAACGGACGAGGGTGGACACGACTGCCGGGCGCGGTGGACATGTGGTCCGCTCCGCATCGACGCGCGGCTGTACGCGCGAGCGCTGCTGTTGTAGCTATTGGTGTTGCTGTGGCTGCTGTGGCTGTCATCTGTGTGGGTGATTGTGCTGGTGCCGGCAGTGGCGTATGTGCTGTTGATTGATCTCGATGGCAAAGCACCGTAGACACCACGTTGCTGCTGGCGATGGCTAGAGTCAACAGGCGTGAATGTGGCGGAGGAAGAGGGCACATGCTGTACGTCATTGGGTTGCTCTTGCTGCTGCTGTTGGTGCTGCTGTTGGTGGTGTTGGTGCTGCTGGTGGTGTTGGTGGTGGTGGTGGAGGAGGAGTTCAGCTGCCTCGTCACCGCGGTCTTGCGGGGCATCAAATGTGACGCGAGCGGACTGGGGAGCGGACTGGGGAGCAGTTGTTGATGCTGATGCTGATGCTGATGCTGTGGCGGCGGCGTCTTGTGCCGTGGTTGAAGATGGTGGTGATGGCACGCCTCGCTGCGCTTTGGGCCGCGCAGTCGTTGTAGTCGACGACGCAGAAGAGGAGGAGGAGGAAGAGGAGGAAGAGGAAGAGGAAGGAGGGTGGTTTGAAGATGTTGGTGCTGCTGGGCTGGGTGAGGGTGATCGCACCACATCATCATCATGATCATGATGAATGTCGTCGATACCACCATCATCATCATCATCATCATCATCATCATCATCATCATCATCATCATCATCATCATCATCATCATCATCATCATCATCATCATCATCATCATCATCATCATCATCATCATCATCATCATGAATGTCGTCGTCGTCATCATCATCATCAAAGACGTCTGTACGTGCGGCAACGACTGTTGCGTCGCTACCATACTCCTCATCAGCATGGACAATGCGCGAAATGGCGTCATCAGCACTCGCAACACTGTTGCCCTTGCCTGTTGCATCACCATTGTCGTGCTCATCGGTGCTGTGCGCGTGCATGTCTGGCGGGCTGTGGAGGGCGCCGGAGCGAGAGGAGAGCGGGGTGAAGCGGCTGTACAGCGACGCAGACGACGAGGAGCCCGACGACGACGACGCGGAGGAGTACATGGGATAGGAGGTCGATGACGACGAATATGCAGAGGCCGTGCCGAGGCTGCCGTGGCCACTGTCGCCATGACTGCATGTGCTGGTGCTGCTGTTGATGCTGTTACTGCTGCTATTTGGGGTGGGTGTGCCTTCGCATGGTTCTGACGTGGCCAGTTTGGCGGTTACGGTTGTGGGCGCGGACTTGGTCGTGCCCTGGCTCTTGATGTGGCTTCCAGCCTGATGCTGCTCTGTGGCGGCATCAGCAGAATTGCCGCCGTTCGTGTGTGGTGATGCTGTGGTCAGAGGATCGTCATCGGAATCGACGCTATCGCTGTCGCTATCAATCGACGAAACGGAGGATGAGCGTGAAGCATGCTGCACCGATGACCAGTACTGACTCATGTGCAACGCTGATGAAGCTGTGTGTGTGTGTGTGTGTGTGTGTGTGTGTGTGTGTGTGTGTGAGTGTGTCTGCGTGTGTGTGTGTGTGTGTGTGTGTGTGTGTGTGTGTGTGTGTGTGTGTGTGTGTGTGTGTGTGTGTGTGTGTGTGTGTGTGTGTGTGTGTGTGTGTGTGTGTGTGTGTGTGTGTGTGTGTGTGTGTGTGTGCGTGCGTGTGGGGGGGGGGGAGGATGTGAGTCCGTGTGCGTGTACTTGTGTGCGTGCGAGGAGCGGAATAAGTGAGCAACGGGATGGCGGGTGGAGGGATGCACACGTGGCAGGGCGGTGCTTGCATGCAGTTGCACACAGGAGGAATAAAGAACAAGAACAGCGTGTCAAAGAAGTGGTGCAAGACGAACCAGGAGATCAACAAAACCCACCAACACCAAGCCAGAGTCAAGACGAAAGGGGGATTCGTTTAGTCTTGCTCACCTTTCTGCGGCAGACGTTCACAGAAGTGCGACGTATCGGTGCGTGTTGGCGAACAGGTTGGGTGGGCGAGAGACGGTGAAGATGAGGCGGTGGAGGAAGGAACGGAGCACGAGAGTGAGTTGGTAATGAAGCAAGCAAGCGAGGATAGGGTGCCACGGGGAAGAAGGGGGGGGGGGGCAAAACAACAACAACGTGCAGGCAGACCAGACAACACACAACAGACACACAACAGACACACAACAAACACACAGCAAAGAGGCCCACCAGCTCGTGACACTCGTCCATTCGCAACAAGGGCAAGGATGATCAAGTCTTTGTTGTGCGAACCTGCTGCTGGTGGTACTGCGATGCGCACAGACTTGTGCGTTTGAGTGATCGGAGGGCCTGTCTGCGTTTGCCTGTTTCGTGTTTGTGTTTGTGGTTGTGTGTTTGTGTTTGTGTTTGCTGGCTGGAGAGTGGAGGATGGAAAAGAGGAGAGAAGGAGAGGAGGAGAGAAGCAAACGCAAGAACCAAATGCGCAAGAAAACAAGCGAAGCAAAGCAAGCAAGCAAGCAAGGCGCACCTTCCAAGCGTGCCTTCCTGTCTTGTGTGTGTGTGTGTGTTGGTGCGTATGTGGCAGCTGCAAATCTTCTTCGCTTTTCTGTGCTTTGCTCCTGCTTGCTTCTTGCTTGCTGACTGTCGCTTGTGCGTGTTTGTGCGAGCAAGAAAGCGAAAGGTGGCGAAAAGCTGACACATCAGGCGATGGCGTCATTGTAGAAATTTATTCAAAGTTATGTACCAAACATCGTTCGTGCGGCAAAAAGTGTTTGTGTTTGTTTGTGTTTGTTTGTTTGTGTTGTTCGTTTTGCGTAAGCATCCAGATGCAACAGAGACGCACATGCGCATGCACACGTCAATGCACAGCAGTGGCTATGAGACACACACGCACACACACAAAGACACGGAAGAGGGAAGAAGCGTGCAGGCGGAGGCAGGGGAGAGTGACTGTGTGTTTGGTTGTTTGTTTAGAAGGACGGGTCTTTTGCTTCCAGTTCCGTTTGCTGGTGTTGGATGTCCTCCGCACGGTCTCGCACATCCCCTTGCTTCAACTGTCAGTCGTGGTGGCGGGCGCGTGGTGGGCGGTGGTGTTGGGCGGTGGTGGTGGGCGGTGGTGTTAGGGGACGTGAGGAGGATTCAAACAGAGACAACAACAACAACGACAACACACACAGGCACACAGGCACACACACACACACATGCACACACATGCACACACACACACACACACACACAGGCACACACGAGAAGGGTGAAGCTAGCGTACCCGAGCCTCCTCGCTCTTGGCAAAGTGATCGCGGCCAACGGTGGCCTGCGCCAGCTTGCGGGCACCAGTCTGGACACCTTCCTTGAGGTTGCCATAGCCGGCCTCCACGGCCTCCTTGGTCTTCACGCGCATGGGCTTCTGTGGATGATGATGCAGTCAAGAACAAACATACATGCATACATGCGCGCGCGCGTGCGGGTGTGAAAGACTGAACAGAACATACATGGTACACACGCAAACAAATGTATTGCAACACACACACACACACACACTCACTCACTCACACACATACACACATACACACACATACGCACGTGGACATCTTGAAAGTCCTCCTTTGCTTGCAGCTCGTCGTTGTCAAACTGCATCGCCTCCGAAAACTGCCGCTTCTGTTCGCCTTCCTGCTCAACCGCAAAGATGGCAGCGGACGGTTGTGTGTGAGCGATGAGGGAAAGAGCAAATGCGGTGAAAGTGGCTATCGACACACACACACACACACACACACACACACACACACACACACACACACACACACACACACACACACACACACACACACACACACACACACACACACACACACACACACACACACACACGCACGCACGCACCCACGCACACACACGCACGCACGCACAGCCAACAAACTCACACACACACACAGCCAACAACCACACCTGGAGGGTCTGGTCGTTGAGGACGGGGATGCGATCGAGGCCAATGGCCTGGTTCATGCGATGCAGTCTGCCCTGAGCGCCCTGCTTCGCATCGTCAAGCGCGCTCGGCTGGCGCGGCTGCCGAATGTCGTCCACGGCCTTCTGGTACTCGTGACTTGGCGCATCGCGGATGATGTCGTCGTCGCTGCGCCCGAGCGACGCGTTCGATCCAACTTCTTTGCTCTGGAACGCAGGAAACGTCTGCGAACGTAGGATAAAGAGCAGGGGTGAGATATGAGGAGATGACGGAACGTTTGTCCGAGTTAGAAGGTGGTAGCAGGTTGGGTCGATGGTGGGAAGTAATGTAATCACACACATGCCCACATCTGCACCACCATCAGCGATCATCAACATCATCATCATAATCAGCGAAACATCCCACACTCTCGTCAATCAACAACGGCTCGATGACATTCGCGTATGCATCACAACCTCTCTCTCTCTCTCTCACGCACACACACGCACGCGGACACATACCGTTGGCGATTCCTGGTGGGTGGTGGTGCGTCCTGGGTTGGGCATGGTTGCTGTCTGCTTGGTACTTGGTTTGCCGACTTGGTTGCTCGGTGGCTTGTATCTGTTTGTACTTGTTCTCGTTCGCTTGCTGATCGGCTGGCTCTGTTTGTCGTCTTCGTCGTTGTTGTCGTGAAGAGAAAAAATGAACATCGACAGCCATCACCCACCACAAGAAACACGACGCAAAGCACAAGTTCAAGCGCTGGGTCGCAAACAAACCGAGCACAGAAGCGAGGCTTTCGAAGGAAAAAGAAAGGCAGCAAGAGACAGGGTCAATGCCACGGCACATCAATGCTGGCGGAAGAAAGGCCGTGATGATCAAGCAATCAAGCCATCAATCAATCACAACACAATGAACAACACAAGCAATCACTAGGTTCATCACCGATCCTTCCATTCGTGCGTGATGTGGCGATCACAGAGGGCAAGCTGTCTTTCGCACTCTGCTCAAATCAGGTGCCAATCAACGAACGAAGAAATATGTGCATTGTATGGGCTACTGTGGAACGAGACAGAAGCGCGGAAGGCCGGCCAGCATCCTTGATTTGCTGCGCCAAGTGAGGTGTGATGTGAAGTGATGTGAAGTCACACATGTGGTGTGCCTGATTGTTTGTTTGTCTTCAAACGCTTCGTCTTCCTCGTTTGCCTCAATCTTGCTGAAATTTGTAGTATATTTTGGTATAATTTTCCGAACTACTTCCCCGTTTTTTGAAGGCAACAAACGAACCGCAGGTGTGCCGTTCTTTCTTTGCTTCTGTGCTCCTTTGACTGTTGTGTTCTTCCAGCGCCACCGCCACCATGTTCCAGGTTCGTCTGTGTGTGTGTGTGTGTGTGTGTGTGTGTGTGTGTGTGTGTGTGTGTGTGTGTGTGTGTGTGTGTGTGTGCGTGTGTGTGTGTGTTTTGCGTGTGGAAACCCCGCGCATGTCCCCACATGGTGTTTGCATTCTGTGTGGCGCTACTTTGCCCACTCTTTTCACAGATCAGAAAACACAAAAACAATGACGGGGCCTATCAGCCGCTATGTATGC